GGTCCGCTCCGCTCCGCTCCCTGGTGTGTTGATTCTTCCCCCAGCTGCTGCCTAATGGAGTCCAGGCGCTCGCGTCACAGGAAATGCCTATACTGCCCTCCTCACTCACTTCCGGTGGCAGGTATGGAACCTATAGGGGGCCTGTCACCCGGCACGTGCGCGGGGGGCAGGCCGGGCGGTGAGGGGCTGGAGCCCGCGGGCCAGCGGGGGGCCGACCCAGACCCCGACCCGACCTGACCCGACCCGACCCGGAGCCCGGGCCCGGCCTCTCCCCGGCGCCCTGGCGGGGCTGCCTCCGTCAGGAGTAAGTTTGTCACCGCCCTCAGAGTCCGGGCGTGCACAGGATGGCCGCGTTCGCGTGCGCGCGTGTGTGCGTGTGTACACTCGTGTGACCTAGAAATGTCAGACGTGCGGAGGTACTGCTCGCTCTCCATCCCAGGCTGGAGATGGGGGCCGAGCAGGTGCGAGGTTTTGCAAGCCAGTAGTTCAAGGCGCTGGGGGGGAGGCGCTGCGGGAGAGCGGGGGGTGGTGGGGGTTCGGTAGGCCCCGTCGGCTCACTGCATGGCAACCGGGACTCAACCTCCCCGGTTTGGTGTGGGAAAAACTCGCATGTCCACTGCCAGGTGCCGCACACGGTGTTGGGCCCGGGCCCATCCCAGCAGGTTTGAGAGGACGAGGGGATGAGACTCTGTGCTCCACCCCGGGAAGGCGAAATAACCTAGAAGAGCAACATCTGAGGGGACAAGAAGTCACAATAAGTCAGTGGGGGTGTCGAGGAAGGGAGGGACTTTGCTGAGAGGGCCCCACTCTTTATTGAGTGACTCTTTTGAGTCACTGCCCAGTTTAGGCAGCAGTAACCAAGATCAAGCAAAACATGCATCTTAAGGAGAATGCAGACTCCACCTGAGATCCGGGCTGGCATTTTTTTAGGCGAAATGTGCGGCTGCTGAGTCACCTTGACTTACCTGTTCATGTGCATGTAGAACTGGGATGAATCTTGACCACTGGTGAATGGTCAGCATTACCCCAACCTATTATTTACATGGACGTGGTTGGTAATGTATACACCTGATGTGTACAAACGTTTTCTCAGAAATTAAAAAAATCTTGCTCCGAAGTAGTTTCCCTGTGGAAAAAAATGTTGACTCAACTGATGTTTCCTATATCCCTGAAATTTACGGTATTAATAACTCAGAGTAACTTTCAGAAGAGGAGACAGTCCTTTTTTACGTTTAGAAAAATAATAAAAAATGCTTATGAGAAATTAGCGTAAATCTGAGCTCTGTGGGCCCTCTGGCTGGAGGAAGGGGGAGGAAAACCAATGCAGGATCTTACAGGGAGTTAGCTTTGTAACGCTCATCTCTTAAATATGCTTCTAGGTGGCAGTGTAATTTGCAAGGTGACTCACATTCAGTGTTTCTTATTCATCTGAAACAGACCTGAGTTCCAGCAAAGGTCCACACAGGGCACTGTCACCAGTATCCCACAGAGCCTGGATTACTATTAGATAGTCAACACCTTCAGATGTCCCTGTTTGTATATTAACTTCACACAACCTTATTGTTAAAATTATGGTTATTGTTTACCCAACATTTAATTTTGGCAGAATTGTTTATAATAATTTATTTGGCCTATACAGCAGCATTGGGGACAGGCTTCTGAATAAAATCTGTAGCTTACATCAAGGAAGCAGTCACTTAGTGGTAGCTGCCGATAAGGCTCGTGCCTCATTTAACAAAAATACAAGCATGAAAGGAGAAAGAAACCGGGCCCTATTGCTGTCTAAACGCAATATGTACAGCCCAGCTTTTCTATTGTAGTTTTTATGTGACCAAGACTGCTCTTGTTAGAATTCTGAATTTATGAAGTCCATGTGTACTCTGATCACACCCTTCTCTCACCCTTCTGATTCCAATCAGTCTCTCAAGTCTCAGCTCATTTCGGACAGACCTCCTCAGGGTAGCCTTTCCTGACGCAAGCCTCCTAGCCTCACTGTGAGTATCATTTCTATAGGCCTCCAATTTTGAAGGCTGCTTGTTATGTCTTTTAACTTGCTACGACCCTTTCTTCAAGTCGTTAGACAGGAACCTAAGTGACAGATGACAAATCATTAGTACTGTCCAAGGCAGTGTCTTAATTGTAAAACTTAGGAGCTACTAGATTTAAAAAAGCTGAGAAAGTGTGGGTGTTTATAATTAAACATATAACCAAATTTTCACAGAACTCTTTGTAAAACTAATAGAGACTGTTATTCTTCTGTCAAGGTTTAAGTGGGGTATCTCAACCGGATACTAAACAACATCAATGTTATTCAGTTCATTAAATTTCTCCTAGGAAGAGATAGTTTTCAGGATCCTAGGTATTCCCAGAGAGGGATATATTTATATTTACATCTCTAGCTTCGTTCTTAGCTTTTCTTTGGGATTCTAAAATTGGCATGCTGGACCTGCTGGACTTGAGAGTTCAGGAAAGAGCACAGTTCTTGAAGTCAGAATACTTAGTTAGCCTGTTGACCTTGGGCAGGTCATTTAACTTGGATGCCCCACAGTCATTTCATCTTTTAAGGGGGGATAATGACACCAGCTTACCTGCCTCATAGATTAGAATTGATGTGTGGGTCAAATGAGATAACCAATACTTGGAAAAATACTAAGTTGAAAGGTTTCAAAATATAATTTAAATTCTCAAGCATTTTACAAAGGATTTAAGGCAACTAAGTGCAAAGATATAAGACGGTTTTATTATTAATATTTCTGAGCTGTGGCTTCTAGTCTTTTTTTTTTACCCCAACTCTGCCACTGAACTGTGTTCCTGTGCACCCCTGGGCAGACATCTCTGAATATTGTGCTTCGTATTGGTCTGCCGATGAGCGGGGAGTTTCCAGCACCCGTGCAATAGAGTGAAGGGCATGGTCATCGGGCAGTTTTACCTGCTGTTCCATGCATGTCTCTCCAGTGCTCGCTTATTACCCCCTTCTACAAACATTCCATTCATGCCATGAGCACCCAGGACACTCCTGAAGGTGGGGTAGGAGAGGCTGCCAGGTGGATTTGTGTGCAAACGGGACTCCTGCCTCGCCACAGGAGCCTATACAGTCAGAAGTGAACAGGTAGAGATATTCGCCTCCTCTCAGCTGAAAATGGTCCTTTTCTCAGTAGCCATCTCAAGCTGGTCCTGAGACCCATGTGAGCTCAATCACATGTGTCTCAGGAAATTTCCTGAAGGAACTGAAATAAACCAAGGAAATTAGATTGTTCTTTTCCCACCACACAGCTCGGATAGACCGTTTGGAGTAGCTTGTACTTGCCGCACTGAATTTGGTGGTAGGTCACACTAAAAACAAAATAAAAAAAACCTCATGTAACCCTAAGCTATGTGTGCAAAGATATTCACTGAAGCACTGTGTGTAAGAGCAAACAGAATGTGGTAATCACCATGTGCTGATTTGGAAATAGGATCAAGATACGTTATCAAGTAAAAAATGCATGTCATAAAACTGCATGCATAATATTCATTTTGGTAAACAGACAAATACATATGCATACATTTTTTTTTTAAATTCCTGGTAGGATAGAAAAGCCTAAACAGTGGTTTACCTTTGGGTGGAAGGACTGGGGTGGTGAGGACAAAGGTTCTTATATTTTCCATTTGATCCTTCCCTTCAGTGTTTGCATTTTCTAACTATATAAAGGATTTTTTAAAGTGTCAATGGGTTATTTGAATTTTGCTTTTTCGTATGAATAAATGTTATGTTTTTAAAGCACACGTGTTTTTTAAAATATGCTAAAAGCTATCAAAGTATTCATGAGAACTTAATCATAATAGAAAACATGCCAGATAAAGCAGTGATGTGCTTATTTAATTGACATTAAATACATTGGTTTTTTAAAACTCTCCTACTTTCCATTTACATGCACCTCCTGTGTTCGCAACAGTGCACTCTGCACATACCCATCCCCATCTCTCGTTTGGCTAAATTCATTGGGGGAATAAAGGGCAAAAGACATTCCTATTTATTAACTTGGAAAAGTAGATAAATAATTAATAGCCCCCAGAGTCCCTGCATAGCAGACAACAGGCCCTTTGGGCAGTCTTCCTTATTCTCAGTTTCATAGATGCTGTTCCTCCTCCTGGCTTTGCGATAATCATAAATAATAATGGTAAAACACAACTGTGATTGTTAACATCAAACCAATTTTAATTATTATGAGAAAATATGTTTTCTGAATACACACACACACACACACACACACACACACACAGCCCATATAGAAATAATGGTCTAATGGCTAGGCTTTTAAAAAATTTGAAAGACTATGGTAGGTAATTATTCATAAAGCTTAAAAAACTGTTGAAAGGACTCCTGGACTTTTTTAGTTCATTATTTTTACTTTAAAATTGTGCTCTTTAGTAAATAATAGTAAATGTATAGGCAAATGGAAAACATTATAATAGCCTAATTGAAAGAAAAAACAAATAAATTTGGTTGAATGGCACATGAGTACCAGTCATTAACCATGAGAGAGCACAACAGTGGCTCTTAGCTTCTTTTCGAGGCTTGTGGAGCCATGCTCGGCTAAATCAGGACTGGCAGTTTGACATTTGCTGGTTCCTTTAACACTAATGGGGTTTGTGTCTCTACACGTATAAGCAGCCTTTCTATATACATTTCTGAAATATAAGGATGTCTACTTTCCTGCTATACCACTGACCCCTTATCTCAGAATATCTTTGTCTCTATCCCCAAATTATTGACAAATACTACGGAAATATATAGAAATAGATGTGTTTGTGAGGTTTAGCCATCAGACTTTCAGTAACATTGCTCTTTCCATTTCGTTTCCAAGTGTCCACTCTCTCCATTCTTACTCTTTCTTTCCAGTGATGGCACATGTCCATGGCAGGGTTACTGGAATAATAAAATAATGCTATGAACTATCACTTACCAGGCATTGTTTTAAGTACTTTACATGTATTGTACTACTTTAATCTTATCATCAACCTAATGAGGGATGTATTATTGTGACCCCCACTTTACAGGTGACAAATGGTAGCACAGAAAACTTGAGGTCACACATAGGTGGTGTGTGGGAGAGCTATGTGCTCAGCCCTTACACCACACTACTTTTGGGAGATGGCTGGTATTCATCTGAAAAGCACCCATTCTTTAAATTCCTAGGAGTCAAAAGAAGAAATAGAGCAAGTCCTATACATTTATTTTTGACCTTTGCCTCTTTAGTGTATAGGAAACCTTTGGAGCCCTCACCGTTTCGTCAGCCTAATCAGTATTATTTAGATAAGTGAGCCCATGAGGGACAGGAAAAGGTTTTTCTTCCTCTAGAAGCTACCACAGGGAGTGCGTAAAAGCTCTTTATCAAAGATACAGTTCATTTCTCCTTGCTGAAATGCAGCATTTTGCCTAAAAGGGATAGCACGCTAAGCCAGACGTAACCTGGGGATTACAGGTTACATCTTGAAATGGCGAATGAGGGGCCAGAGGAATGAATGAATTTTGTTTCCCTGTGAACTAGGAAAGCGCAGGCTTGGAAGGCCTCCTGGGAGACATATTAAGTCAGGAGGCCCGTGCCAGACTATTTTTTGCAACCTCTTGTATCTGTCTAACGAGGGTTTCTAAAATTGTGTAAGTCTACATGAATCTAGGATCCTGGAATAAGGGAGAGGCAGAACTTGATTTATATGGGAATTCATACTTGATTACTCCAGTAGCAGTTCCAGCCAGGTCAGCTGGCAAAAGAAGCCAAAGCTAGCTAACTGAGATGCTGCTAGATAGCGCCAGCTTAATGTCTAGGGACAAGACCAGAAGGGTCAGTTCAGGGAGGCTACAGGAGTTAGTTCCTGGGGAGTCTACTCTTTAAGGGAGGGCACCCAAGCTGCTCGAGACCTCACATTGGCATATACCCCAAAGAATATGGGTAAGTGATTGCTCTGCCATATCCACGTCCCTAGGAAATTATTATTTTCTTTCCACTGCTCTGAGAGGAGGCACACTTTGTCTCCTGTGCTGGTCAGTGCACAGATGTGGTACACGTTCTCCTCTATTCCAGATACTCGGCTTCATAATGGATGGAGGAAAGGCCAAGATGACTTCTTAAGGGTTCGATGTTCATGGTTTCCATCGTCACTACATATTATCACTTGATTAGGTTGGGGAGGGGTTGAAGAGAGGAGTCATAAGTATCCAAAAAACGTAAACCTGGGTTTTGCTATAGCTTTAAAAAGGTTTTGTTATGGAAGATTTTAAACATACACAAAGGTAGGACAGGTCAGAGATTCCCGTGTGCCCACCATCCGGCTACCATAGTCATCAACTCATTTATTCTTGTTTGATCTGCCCTCCCGCTGCTGATTATTTTTAAGCAAATCCAAGATAGTCTTTAATTTATAATACACGTATGTATACTTCAGTATGTAGCTCTAAAAGATAAGAACTTGTTTTGAAAACATTGCCACAATATCATCATGGTCCCTAAACTAATAATCCCTTAATTATCGTCAAATATGCAGTTAGTGTTCAAATTCCCCCAACTGTCTCATAAATTGTTTTTAACAGTTGGCTTGTGTGGTTGATATATTTCTAAAGCCTCTTTCTTTTTTAGGACAAACTTTTATTAAAGTAAAATATATAAAGAGGAGTGTAGAAATCCTTAAGTGTACAACTCTGAATTTTTTCCTGTGAAACTACCACCCATGTTATGAGATAGAACATTACCAGGACCCCAGTAGTACCTTTTCGTAGTTTTAATTTGCATTTCTCTGATGACTAATAATGTCGAGCCCTTTTAAAATATATTTTTGGGGGCCATTTGGATTTTTTTTTTTTACGAAGTTCCTTTTCAAGTCCTTTGCTTTTAAAGTTGTGCTTCCTTTTTCTTATTGGTTTGTGGAATTCTTTGTATATTCTGGATACCAGTCCTGTATTGGATATATGATGGCAAATTTCTTCTCCCACTGTGTGGTGTCTTGATGAGCAGAA